GGAACAACTGACATTTTTAATGAATTAAAAGTCTCCAAACAGTGAAAGCAACAATGAAGCATTTCTCTCTCACTCATTCACTACCACGTTCTTAACTTTTCAACTTATGTGAGTATGGCAAGAATGAAATCTTGCTGGGTTTGTTTTGGTTTTTTTTTTTTTTTTTGGCTAATGCATTTTCCAAGTAGCCATGGCTTGGAAGAAGTTTTTAAGAGCAAGTCAATGACAGGATGCCAAAATATTTGAAAGTTTATGAACAAAACACTCATTGTTTCCCAAATTCAGAACAAAACTCTGGAATCCAGAGTCCAAGCATGGCCCTTTAATAATGACTGCTCCAAGCTCAGAAAGTTTCTCATGTGGAATATTTTGTACCATTCCTTGGGGTACAGTTAGATTATACAGTGAGAAAGAAAGAGTGAAACAGCAATAAAACATCCCTATGCTTTTTTTCCTCCCTCAGTTCGTCAGAGCAATGGTCGCAGTTGTAATAACATTTGCCATTTGCTGGTTCCCTTATCATCTCTACTTCATCTTGGGGAGCATCTGGAAGGAAATCAACAGACAGAAGTACATCCAGCAAGTTTATCTGGCTGTGTTTTTGCTGGCCATGAGTTCTGCAATGTACAGCCCAATTATTTACTGTTGTCTTAATCATAGGTGAGTATTATGTAGTTTAAGGGGCTACAGCTTCAGTGGGTAAAAAGATCTATCACCAGAGGACAATACAGTATAAAAGTACATGCAGATAAATGTTAACTGGGACTTAAAACCATCACTCACACCAAATAACTCTTGCCCTTTTTCCTAACATTCATTTTTTTTTACTTAAAAATGTCAGCATTTTAGAAAGCAGCAAATGCTCAGTGGTAAGTTATGAGACAGGTTAGCGCCACATACTAAGCCATGGTTTGATGTGGTGAGCTAACCCCTATATAAAAATAAGTCATGAATCCATGGTTTAGAAGCCACAATGGCTGGATTCACAGTGTGCTAAGCCATGTTTGGGGGGGGGGGGAGTGTTTACTGCTTATCATAGGTGAACCCAGCCATTGTTGGCATACCTGGATAATGGAGAAAGGTAAGGGCTAAGTAACCAAATGAGACACAATCTGAGCAGGGATGTGGCAGGAAGCCATGTGTAATCAGAACATAAGGCTTCCTCTTGGGCATGTGGTTAGGACTGAAAACTTAAAACCTTCCAAAGACAATACTATTCCTAGAATGTGTACCATATTTCATCAGCACTCTGCACGGGAAATATTTCTATCTGCACCAGAAGTGAGCATCTTGTGGCATTTCTGCATCCTCCCCATTTGCCATGGAAATGTAGGAGCAAATTCTACATTTACTCCATTCTGAATTTTGAGAGATCAAAGTTTAAGTGTTTGGGGGATCAATTTCTTTTGGGGAAATATTTGTCTTTTGGTTTTTGAATTTAGGGAGAAGGTATGCCCTGATTCCACCCATTTTTTTGTCCTGAGCTCTCTGGCTTGTAACGAGCCATTCCAAGACCAAGCAGGCCTTTCACGCAAAAATGCTCAACCACCGCTCTTGATCCCTGATCTCAGCTTGATTTCAAAAGTATTCAGCAGGCAATCGGTCTACATCTCTAACAGAGAGAGAGGTTGGATAGGTGTCGAAAAAGTCAAGGTAGCGGCCCAACCATGTGATCAACGGCCAACCCTTCTTTAAGTCCATAGTATAACACATTAAAAGAACATGGGACTTCATTGCCATGCCTCCATCTTGATTTTTCTGAGCCCACCTTTGCAGACACCCCTGCTTGGGCAGCCAGGGAAGAGATGAGAGCTGAGGCCAGAGACAGACAAATGGGTTAGCACATAGTAAATCAGAAACGTGTGGTAGAAAATACTGTAGAACAATTTAAAAAATAGAAAGATGTGGTAGAAATTAGAAAAAGAAGTTGATGGCTTCACCCTCTTGTCTCTGGGTTGGATAACATGCATTTTATTAATATTTGTGCCCGGCAGGTTCCGCTCCGGATTCAGAATTGCTTTTCAGTGGTGCCCCTGCGTCAAAGCTACAGAGAGAGACCAGCTTAACCTTAGCTACCCCCCACCCTAACTGAAAATCCTAAGAGAACAAGCGCCCAACTTCCCCACGAGTCTAGCAACATACACAACTAATCACAATATCATTTACTAATGCATATTTGGTGGCATGATTTTTATCCTGAAGGTGTGAATAATAGTTTAATTGTCCTGTTCTTTTGCTGCAGCATCAAAAATACTGCACTAGATCCCGACATGTTTGTAATTATTCTTTGATGGTAGCAATGCAATTTGCCAGTCTAAGTGGCCCTTTTGAAATCGCTTTTTACATGAAAGGAATTGGCTGTTCTTTTCCCCCACTAAATCAAGCAGTTTCTTTTTTTCTTCCCAACATGTCTTGATAATCTAACTTGCCAATTTCTTGATATAATCACATCAATGCAATTTGCCAGTCTAAGTGGCCCTTTTGAAATCGCTTTTTACATGAAAGGAATTGGCTGTTCTTTTCCCCCACTAAATCAAGCAGTTTCTTTTTTTCTTCCCAACATGTCTTGATAATCTAACTTGCCAATTTCTTGATATAATCACATTAATAATAATTCCAATGATATTGACTTCAGTACACCAAACAGCATTAATCGGCAATCTAAGTTGTTTATTGCACTTTTAACTGTTTCAATATTTGTATACATTAAAAATAATTATAAGTACATTTAACTGGTCCCAATTTCACCAGTTGTTACCATGAACAATTCAGGAATGCTGAGCCCTTAACTAAGGGGACCAAAAGTTATATGCCCCTTCAGTTTATTCCTAGACAGTAAATAGATATAAATTGACTAGCAATCTAAATGCATTTTCTCCCTAAACATATTTTCTTTGATTCCATTCACCATCCTGGTGCTGATGCTTAAAATATTTTGATCCAGACAAATTTCCTCTTTGGGAATCTCCTTTTAGAAAAAGCCTACATTTACACAATTACCTCTATGCACTTGTTGCAATAATAAAAACTACATTTCATGGATTGTGGAGAGTGTAGAGTTATGGAAAACCAAAACCATTCATTTCCTTTCCTCAAGAACATCAAACCAAATTGTAACACAAATGCGGACGGGGGGGAACAGATCGTGAAAAATGGGGCCTTGAGAATGAGGTGTAATTAATGAAAGGCATATTAATAAGGTCCTCCCACCCAACTATCTTGATCATGATGAGTTATCCTAGCAAGGTTAGAGCCTCCTTAAATAAGAAAACTAAAGATCCTGGCTGGATTGATTCAACTAGAGATTACAAAACCCATAATAGCTAACAGGGCTTCTATCTTTCCCAAAGTTCTGCTCCCTGCAAAGGGTACAAAGGAAATGAGTTTTATTAAAAGGCATCAGCTTTTGTTTGGTAGTCGGAAAAGGTGCTACGAGAGTCCTGATTGTTTCCCCGTCCAAGTAATAACTGGTCAGGACCTGCTTCAGAGCCGAAACAAGAACTGTGACAAGTGAAGACTAAACTTTACACAAAGATCTAAAAACTAGACAAAGTGAAAACGTGCTTCCCTTATATTTCCCCGTAATTGGATCAGCCCTAAACCTTCCTGGAAAGAATATGGTTTAAAAAAAAACAAAAACAAAACCTGAACACTAGATTATTTCAGTAAATACTCATTATTATCTCTCAATAGGCATAGCAATAAAACAGTGTACCGTGAGGCGTATTTTAAATATTTATTATAATTTATGAGGTAACAAGAATATTTCATTCAAGAAAGGAAAATCCTTGATTTTATATAAACTTATTAAATAGTGTTTTATACTATAAAATAACCAAGGAATGATAAAAATTGTTTTAAAAAAGGAATTTCGGAAATACCTTTCCCATAGACGATCCCAGCAAACTGAAAAGCAACACAAAATAAATTCACGGATCGGGAAAAAAAAATGTTTAGAGAAAAACCAAAAAGGCTGTTTTTTGTTTTTTTTAAAACCCTCTTAAAACCTCAGAACTATCTGCTAAAAAAGATCTTTGGGAGATCCCAATCAGTAGCAGCAGAAGCAACTGACTACTATGTATATGGATTGGTTGTTTCCCCAAATTAGACGCATTTTTACAATCTAAAAAATAAGCACCATATTGAATAAATTTGCGTAAAAGTCTTGGGGCAACATGGAAGTTAAGACATTTGAGAAATATAATCGTTTCTTTCATTTCTGGGATCAGTTTAGTGCACCTACCTGTACCAAGGATAAACTACCATCAAGCATGCATTTTGTCAAGAGGTTTGACCACAAATTTAAAAATGTCCAGGAGGGCACAGATTTTACAGACCATCCTATTTACTTTTCCATATATTGCAGGCAGATCAATCCCTTTAAATGAGACCTTCATTAGCCTCTGTCAGCATTAAGCTTAAATCCCTTAAGATGCAGGGTTTTTATCCTACTTTGGAACACAGAAAATCCCTATTTATTTCAAATGAGGCCAGTGGGTTTTCTAGCTCTGCACAGTGAACAGCTGAGACCTTTTCTAGGGAAACCAAGCACCAACCCATTTTTTACCTTTTTCTTCAGCACTGAAGCTGCAAACTACCTCAACCACATAAGCACAAGTTAACAGTGCAGACATAAATTACATTCCCAACTTCTGAACCTGAAAGAAAAAACACACATTTGCATGTAAAAACCCACTCTGGAACTCAGCATGTTCCTCTGAGGATTAAGACCTACGGATACCAAATTAGCAACTGATCTGACAAATAAAAGGTTTGCTGACTTAAAAGGAACACTAGTTTTGCAACCACCTGTCCAGTATCTGAAATATAACGAGACCTTCTAAACTGGTTTAATAAAATTCAAAATTTGCTAGATCTGTAAATTCTTCAGGGAGGCTCTAGTCTAAGAATTAGAGTAAATTATTCCTTTGTTTCTCTTGCATTTATACAACATAAATACCCCTTTCATTCCTTTGTCAGAAAGAACCACCAGACACAAATAAACACGCATCAAAATAAAGTTTAATTATGTCACAAATATCCACTTTGCACTATGTAGTATCATCACTACTAGTAGGCAATATAAAAAGGCTTTCTAGCATAGGTAAACCATGGGAATCATGCGGTCCTTCAGGAAGACATACACGCAACACACACACACACACACTGAAAGCTGCAAAATAATGGGCGAGACTCGTTTTACCACAACATTCGATCACAATGCACCAAAATGCACACTGAAAATGCTTATTAAAGGAGAGGGCAATCCAAATCTTGAGATACAAAGTAATACACTAAGCTTGTTTTATTTTCTTGTTGCTGTTGCCAATGATGTGATCGATATCATTTCACACTGGAATGGAGGTATCTGGCCAGCTTTTAAAAAGACCAGCTGATACATTCACTACTTGGGCAATTACTAACAAGAGGACAGTGTTCAGATATCTCTACAGTCACATTCTAATTTGAATTTCAAGTCTAGGTCAAACTGAGGTCTTATGCCTGGGATATCCATGGTTTGCATGCTGTTTTCTTTGGTGACACCTGTAACAGTATTTTTCAAGTACCTTGGTAAATCACACGGCCAAGTCCAGCTGGAGCATAAACCAGGCCTTGAAACTTAATGTTCCTAGAATTGTTAAGCGTGCTATCCACATGCCTAATTTAAAAGCTAACAGTGCTCTTAAAACTACCTCCAAGTGTGCATTTTCAGAAGTATAATGGGTGCAATCCAACTCCATAAAAATCAATACGATTTCACCACCACAAATTCTGCTATTGTAATGTTAACAGAAGTAGAGTATGTCACATTTTCCCCTCTGATTCTTTGGCTATAGCAAAGTCAAGACTTTTTAATGTTTTGCAATGGTGTAAATGCTGCCATACAGAAGCATCTGAATTAGAAAGCCACCTGCACCTGCTCAGTTTCCTGCAATAATGTTGTATCAGGCATCCTGGGCTATGAGAGAAAATCAAAATGGTGGTCAGGTCTGTAGTCACTGCTATCGTACGTCCAGAGCAAAGGGGTGGACTTTGTAAAAAAAGAAGGTGGTGGTGGTGGTGGTGGCCAGGACCACACAATCAAAGCCCTACCTAAACACATAGGAAAAAGAGATGGGGCTTCAGTTCTGCAGATGCCTATAGCCTTGGGAGTTGGATGCTAACACTGGCCTTACATTGATTCAGTTCTCCCAGATGTGCATCTGTGATTTGGATCTGACAGAAACTCAAGGCTCTGCCCCCCACATCTCATTATATTCCCCCATACAAGCTCTCGTGTTTCTCCCAGAATTCAGGATCTTACAGATTGGAAGTGGCTCTCAGCAGGACATAAAACAACAAGAAGGAAATTCCAAACTCTTTTATTAAGAGAAGTGGGGAGGGGAAACCCTGGACAATAGCAAAGCCAATATAAAGGCAAAAAACATTTCCCATAACTAGAGATTTGGATTACCCTAGGACACTTGATTTTATCAGTAAAGACTTGCCTTTTGAAATGGTACACGCTTTACTTGGAAATTTGACATCGATCACCAAAGCAAAGAGAAATGCCAGGGATAATAGAAATGTGGGGAGAGATACTGGTTGACTGATTAATTGATCCATCCATCCAACGATTCAGTGCAAACAGAAGAAAATTCAGATTAAGGGAAATCTGAGTACAGAAAGTTCAGATGCTACCCGACAGCTGTGGAAACTCCAAGACGGGCGAGGAGAGAATAAAACATTAGGCGAAAAGGTCAGATGGGAATTGCTAACTTCCCTTTGCATAAGCATTTGCCTCATATTGAGCACTGTTGGTGGTATATTTATTTAATATGGACGTAGTAGCAGCGGCAAAGAATATACTTGACACAGTACCACCTGCTCTCGTTCACGTCTATTTTCCGGCCATAATTTTAGAACCTCAAATCATAAACTAGTTTCTGACATTTGTTTAAATTATAAGTCCATGTTTTCATGAACCACAGATGGGGAATGTACTAAATAGGGCAGAAAAAGACACATGCAGACAAAGGATCCAAAGTGGGAGATATTATCAGCAACATCATACGTAGTCAGCATTCTATTTTTATTTTATTTTTTTTTTAAACCCCAACTCTTCCACCAAGCAGTGAATTCTGGGCTCTCCCCACCAGTTCAGACTACAGAACTGCTGCTTGTCAAGAAAGTGCCTGGAAGTCATAAGCAGCCCGGGGAGCAGAGTTCAGTTGTGCTCAGAATCGCGGAGTCGGCATCCCACCGCGGTGATGAGGGCAGCTCCTTTGCCACTGCCATCTTCTGAAAGCAGGAATGTCACATCGCATTTGGGTGCCAGCTCCTTTGCCGTTTGGTGCATGATCCTTGAAAAGCTGCAGAAAGCACAGAAGGTGTGAAAGGTCCTTCTTCCACCCAACTGAAAATGGCACCGTCATCAAAACAGTTGGGATGGGATTCGCCTTGCAGCAAGCAGGCAAGAACAGCCTCTGCGAGAAGGTCAACGTCTGCAGGATGGTGGGCACAGCGGAGCGTGAGAATCCCTGCCCTTCGCCATGTGTGGTGATGCCACACATGTACAAAAGGGGCAGAGCATCTTTTGCAATGCAACACCCATTATCTTGCAGATTTTGGCTCAACTGGCAGATGCCCATGTAGGCAGGAATGACTGAGATGCGGAAGTGTTTTTCCCATATTAAGCCTAAGACTTGATGCTAGTGCAAATGAATGGCCACAGATATTATACAGAATAATGTCATATAAATTTTATAGAACAGTCTTCTTCAACTTGGTGTTCTCAAGATGTGCTGAGACTGCTTTTCCTAGAACTGCCAACCAACAGCCTTGGGGGAGGCTGCTAATACAGAAATGCCTGGCAGAAACTGTCAAAGGAAAGCCAGATGCAAAGACTGGCACGGGCTCTACGCACCGTCAAGGACATGGGTGAAATAGGCAGGCACTTCTTTTCATTCACACAGAAACAAGAATCAATAACCTCTCAAGTTACCTACGTAATCCATCCTCGATTTATCATTCAGAAAATAATGCTGGAGGAAGAGAGTGTGCACCAATCACATATACCCTATGTTTGTAGTTGGAAATAAATGGCCACATATAATTTATACACACATGTGCATATACTGCACATATAAAAGGTGGAGCAACATAGGAAGGAAGACTAATCTGTGATAGCTTCCACCCAGTAAGGCAACCCTACACCTTCAAGAAGTTTCCACCCTGCCAGCTCTTCCATCCTCTGAAAACTACACAACTCACAATGAACCACCATAATACCCCACGCTTGCATTGACATGTAACAGCGGGGCTGGGGGGAGGCTGCTTAGGAGATTGGATTACAGCATTTCCCACTCCTACAACATTCCCCCCACACAGACTGGAGGAAGATTTAAGCCACTCAGAATCCAGCATTTTCTCCCTACCCAGGCAAACAACTCACACAAAATACTTACTGTGGATGAAGCTTGTATAGTGTACCATCTACACCCACGGTTATATTCAGATGCTCCAAGCCTCTGTTCTCCCTTATTTTATCTACAACAGCAGCCATTCCAGCCCCACACATCTGAGCGGCTCTCCGTGACACGGCTCCACATACCGTCTTCACAATTATACTGTCATCACAAGTGCTGTTCAGGCCAAGCTGCTGGAGGATGGTACGGACCTGAAGCAACGCTAACCTATCACTGTTGAGAAAGGACATGAGGGTAGAGTCAGGTACATGAAGTACTTTCCAAAGCTAAGCATCTCAGTTGAGGGCCAAACTAGCTCAGGGATCTCAAGGAAAATGACTATTTTCAACATTAGGCAAAATAGCTCTGGGGAAAGATTTCACATTTGGAGTATCTCTGAACCCAAGCCCACATCTCTTCAATTTTAGCCCTCATCTAATGCTCTTGTAATGTTTCACAATATAGCTGCAAAAAATGTCTAAACAAACACGTCTGGCAAGGTAAAACTATAACGTCTCACGCACGCAGACATTCCTTTGAGTGCACTTCATTACCTCTTGCCTGGTTTTTAAAAGACCTAGTCAAAGAACCTGGGAGAGGATTGCTCCATTGTACTAGAGACAATCACTGAAGAATCAGATGTTCTGGAGATGTTCAGCATTACTCCTCAGTTTTTATATTAGTATGTTCCTACATTATGCCCAACAGCCAGTTTGGTGTAGTGGTTAAGGCTCCAGGCTAGAAACCAGGAGTTCTAGTCCCGCCTTAGACACAAAGCCAGCTGGGTGACCTTGGGCCACTCACTCTCTCTGAAGCAAAATTCATTAAATAAACAAACAAATAAATAAAATATTTCCATTCTGATACCAGAACACTGGTATTGCAGAAACCTGTTATGTGAAAGGCATTTTAGACTGTCACTCCAAGAAAAAAGGTGGATAGTTTCCTTCAAATCCAACTTAATTCTAGACGATTACATGGACAGTTCTTGCCACTGCCTTGTTTCATGACGTTTCTTGACTTCACAAGTTTGGGATCTTCCTGTGATCCCTATCTAAGTACTAAGCAGCCCTGAACCTGGTTAGCTTTTGTAAAAGCAATCAAGACCAGCTAGATGGTGAGGACAAGTATTAATGTCAGTTTACAGAGAAAATGTTAAATGAGATGGCTAAGGAAAAGTAACTGTTAGTATACTGAGATAATAACAAGCTCCATTCCAGATATATTGTGTGCCCTTACCTCTCAATTTGTGAAAGAAACTTGGTTTCAAAAATGCCCCTAGTTTTCAGTGTCTCTGAAATTTGACCTCTGAAGAGGAATCCTCTTTTTGTGAAGTCGATCAAAATGTTACGAACAATTTCCCCTAAATACATTCCACTGATCATCTTCTCATACCTACAATCATGGACGAAAACACTGGTTCAGAAACGCTGTTAGCAAGAATGACAGAAATTAAACATTTTTATAGAGAACAAGATACTTTTTCTTTGGGAAAGAATTATAAGCATTGGATCACTTCAGAACTGGATCATTTAGCTCAGAACTGATTGGCAACCATCTGCCCCGATACACAAACTTTTTTCTCCTTTCTTGCAAGAAAAGGTTTTTAAAAATCTACTGTAAGGATAACAGCAGCATGTTGGAGAGGAGAATTTTTATATCACTTCATTTACATGAAACAAAAATGTAAAAACAAGGCAGTAAGTATTCCCCCGATTCAGAAATCCATGTGACCTGAGAAGCCGTGTCCCATGCTCCTTTCACATCCGTTAATGAATATGACAATCCTTCCATTTCACACATTTCCAATCTCCTCTGTTTTCCTATACAGGTGGTCCTCATTTAGCAACCACAATTGGGAGCAGCAACTAGGTCACTAAGTAAAGTTGCCACTAAGTGAAACCGCAACTGTGTTTACAATCTTACTTCAGCTTTCCTTTGCTTTACAGACCTGCCAAGGTCGTAAATGTGAGGATTGGCCATAAGTTACCTTTTCATCATTGTTGTAATTGCAAATGGTCACTAAATGAGGCAGTCACTAAATGAGGACTGCCTCTATTGACAGATTATAGGCCAAAGGAAGGGAGGAAAGCACAAAGGATGCTTTCTCCTGGAAATCTGGAGTTGGGGAATGATAGCAATTTGCTGTTTTTATTCTTCCACGTTGATCAGGAATCAAATCTGTATCTCCCAAAGTTAAACCAACAGCTGTTTCTTCTCATTCCACTATAAAGATTTCTGAGCATGTTCTGAGTCTCCACTGCTGACTTTGGGAAGTCAAGAACTCTGTGTGTGTGTGCGCATATGTGTGAATTATGCATATAGTTAATTCTCTTGGTTTATCATTAAGAATAAAGCACTACTGTTTTTAGTACAAGGATGCTCAGAATTTTTTAGTACAGACTTCTGAAAACTTAGGGAGACCCACTGGTTTTATACGTCCCTTCCTCTGATGTTTCTTCTTCCCCTACCCCAAATGGGAAGCACATAGAAGCTGGCAGATAAGATTGTTGTAAAAATATGTTTGATCTTTCTGAAGTTACAAGGAACCTTGAGCTTTTGCCAAGAAATCTCCCACACACCCCAAAAAACCCTTAGAAAATCCTAGTACTTTTCAAATCAAGGATAGTTTTTGCCCATCTTTAATAGTGGTAGATAAAAATATTTCTGACTTCACATTGGATTTTTGCCTTCTTGAGTGTTATCCTTAGGATCTTGTAAAAAAACCCACAGCCTCAGTAATTGTATTGCTCCATGCACCCAACTGGTGATAATCCCCTCTGCTGGAAAAAACGCCACACAACTTCACATTTCTCATCATATTTCAGAAAAAAATAAATACGTACCTTTGCTTGCCACTATTTAACGAATATTCATCCACAGCTTTGTCATAGATAGTCCTAATGTCATCTAGACATCCATTGTCCCCAAAGGCACCCCATTCCATATTCACACACATCCTTCCCTGGTCTCCCTCAACCATTTCAACATTTCTCATTTCCTCCATGTAGCACGCATTGCTTCCAGTTCCTACAATAAGGAAATAAACAAGTTCATAACCAGAACAGCAGTTCGTTGTTATCTTCCAAGAGTAGGGACATGCAACTTTCTTGGCTTGACTGCTGTACCAGTTATGGGCATTCAAAAGGGGGCAGGGGGCCAGAGACAAAACATGTATCTTATGATCATGATACAAACCCAGAGGTGGAGACAAAAATATACTCCGCTCAGCTGAATTCTAGAATTTTTTTTCTTCCCCAAAAAGATTAGACTGAGCAACAGTAAGTTTTCCAAAGTCATCTTGTAATCTCCATAGCTGAACAGGAATGTGAACCTAGATCTCAGTTCAGAAACACAAATAACTAATAAAAGGCATCTATTTGTCTATCAGTTTGTTAATGGTTTTCAACATTCCTGACAGTGACTTTAGCTTTTACAAAATATAATTAAGAACTACCCATACTGCACAAGTTATTAAATCCAACCTGTATTTGCAATTATGTCACCTGCTAAACCAATTTTCAGAAAAATACTTTTTTTTAAGAACTTTATTAAGTTTTAAAAAGCAAGAGGTTAAAAACTAACAAGAACTAATAGTCAAGAAGAGTAGAAAGCAAGGAAGTTAGAAATAAAGAAAGAAAACAAAAGTGGTAGAAAACAGAAGAAAAAACAGGAAAAAATACAAAAAGAATAACTTCTGACTTCTTATACAGCAGATATAAATGAATCATGTAATAACCTCTTACTCTAAAACTACATCTTAAATACATATTTTATATAATCTATTATATTCTGAAAAATTCAATCCTGAAAAGATACAAGCAGTTGAAGAGGTCCTGGCAATTAAAGAGGAAAATGGGAGATTCTGGCCATCTTCTTGCCAAATATAGCCAATAGCTCCACGTCCAACCCACCAGGAGAGCACAAGGTTGGGGAAATCTGGCAAAGATAGGACTGCAGATCAATGTGTCTTGTTTACGCTGCATGGATCTAATAAATCTATACAGCTGGACTGGACTGACAATTGTCATTGATTTTCTAAAGTTTCAAGCAAGATTTTCCCCAGCCTCTTGTATCTCTGGCAATTCCCATCTATCTGTTCTTGATTTCCAACCAGACTTGATTTGGATCACTGTTTCACACTGGTAAGAGTCAAAGTTAGAGATCTTGAGACTTCACTGCCTTCTTCTTTGGGTCACCTTCTGTACTAACTTCAGAATGGAAAATGATCCTGAAATTAAGATAATCTTCACCCAGGAAGGAAGAGAAAATAGAAAAAAAAGTACCCTAGTATAAACACAAAACAAAATCTACCTTTGCCATTTTCTCAATCTAGGCTTTCTAAATCAATCCACTCCCCAATAAATGTGTATAACTTATCTGCATAAATGAATATGTAAATATACATCTATATCTATATCTGCCATAAACCAGACTCCAAAAAAGGCCAGGGCCAAAATGAATTTTAAAAAACACGTAATCTTAACTGAATTTAAAACTCTTAAAATTAATAGCCCATAACACAGGGTATTTTATTTATAAAATTAACTGATTCCCCCATCTGCATAATCAACCATTCTCTCTCATATACACAAGTCATTATCTTTCACAGCACACACACTGCCTTCCAGCACAAACAACAACAGAAAAGGAAATAAGGGGGATGGAGGTGGGGTCAGGAAAAGGGGTGGCAGCAATTGGAAATGAAGGGAAATAGAAAGCGGGGAATAAAACTGGATAGCAACGAAGGGCAGGGGAAGAGAGAAATGCTTTCGCTTGATGAGAAACCAAGTCAAACAGCTTTTTCCAAGCATAGCTAAGTGCGATCCCCAGCCATCCATACTTCCTGGCCATACCCTTTGCCAACACCTTCTTCTATTCTTATCTGCCTTCTGAACTCACAGGTGGGGGAAAAGCCCTTTTCCCAGGGTAACCAATACTAAGACTGAAGAGCACGTAACAACTGCTTCTGCAAAAGCTTCTGATTTGAGAAATGTAAACATCAGATTGGTTAGAATATATAGTAAAATTATTAAAATAAAAAGGAAGGTTTGGCATAGTTGAAAACATATGATCTGTTGTGTGAGTATTTAAATAATATTGAACTCCTCGACAAAATTTAAAGCAAGCCTCAGACATACCCACAATGAGTCCTATTTCACAATTCGGATCTTCATAGGCACAAGTCATCATAGTTCCAACTGTATCATTCACTACAGCCACAACATCCAGTTCAAATTCCTTTAAAGAAACAACCACCGTTTTATTTACAAAAAAAAGTCAAGCCAGCTTTTATTATCTGTTCTCTGCTATTTACCAATACCCTAATGATCAGGAAAAGAGGGTTTTCTTTCAATTGGTAGCAATGAAACATTCTTGCTACTAATTACAAGTAGAGCATCATCCTCTCCAACCTGAGAATACTAGGTTGAGGAAATGTCACAGTAGTGTTAGCTACTGGCTGACTTGACCGGTCTGGAAAAAACTAGGCCTGGCTTCTGGTAGCAGCCTGGAATGAAAGCAGTTGATCCCAAGAAGAAACTGCTCTGAGCTCATATTACAAAGATGCATTAACAAGGAGTTTAAAGTACAATAACAGCACAAGAATTCCAGCAAGGGCTCCTTTCAACTAAGAAACACATATAGGCAACTGATATGGATATGGAGAATAATTCTGTTTCTGTTTCTTACACACTCTCTATGTAAAGGGAAGTAAGCTGGTCTCTTTTCCGAAGAACGGGAAAACAATCAAACAGGCTTTGAAGGTGGCTACTGGTCAGTCCAAGAATCAGCTCTCACACCAGGTTAGATCTGGTAGGACTTGGATGGGAAGCTACCAGGGTTATGGAACTGACTGAGAAGCTGATGAAAGGTCCCGGATGAATGCTAGTAAAATGTCACATGTCACCAGGAGTCAGGCTGAGTTTGATGATGGTGCGTTTTTTTTCACATACCAAAGGACAACTAAATTGATAAGGATTAGAAAATGCTGATTGTTACATTGCATATTTAGGGATATCTTTATTTTGCTCCATCCAGACTGCTATGTAATTTATTCTTTGCTAAGAAAAGAGAAAAAAATGCTAACCTCTATTTTAATTTTCTCTTCAAAGTCCTTTATTATGTAGAGATATTATAAAAGGTATATCAATTCAAAAGAGGATGGGTAAACATATAACCATGCAGTAACTGCTAACTGTAATTCTTACATGAAAGTAAATAAATAATAAAATGATTCCTGAGAGCTACTTTGCTAATTCCCAATCCACCACAATGATAAGATGAATTCAGATTTGCTGTGTTTTATCTTGTTTTATCTTTACAGCCACATTTCCTAATTTATTCGCCTTCTCAATGTTCCATCTACTTTTGCCAATGACTGAAAGATTAGCACTGACTCCACATCTTCCTCATCTACTTAAGCTGTCCAAGCGACTGAAAAAGAAGTACAAATTGTTCTGTCAGAAGACTATTATCCTTTATTCTCTTACATTGTTTCAAATTTGCTGAACCACGTTGCTCCAATTTTATGAGAGCCACTCACAAGATGTAAGATCTGAAAGCAACCCAGGATCAACAATTTGACATTGTACATTGCGAGGGGTCTTCTGACAGTCAAAGACTATATAGGGATGATGTTCAAAAACAAAACTTTCCTTCATAAAAAAAACCCCCATCACTTATACTATGCAATATACTAATAATTACTGCATGGGATTAATTCTATTTCTTGTTCATTTTAATTTAAGCTTAAAATGAATCTCTACGCAATTTAGCACCCTCCAGGTATTTTGGGACTACAGTTCCCAGCATTTCTAGTCAGAATGGACAATGGAAGGTTTGGATCCAACCAGCTGCAAGGCATCAATTTACAAAAAACTACTACATGGTGATTTATGTTGCAAAGCTCAGATTCTTTCATGGCTCTATAGCCAAAGTGAAGAAATTTATGCATCATCTATAATTTTTTTTTAAAATAGCAAGTTGAGAAACTTCCATTTAACAATTCTGAAAAATGAAAAATTCAAATACATGTATGAAAAAATATAGTTTCTCCCTTCTACCAGAACATAATACCAGACACTTTCCAATATATCTGGCAGAAGATGCTACAGGCCCCATCTGTTAGGGAATTACACTCAGCGGGCCCAAGGAGGCTTGACTTCTTTGCCACGGCACCTGCCTTATGGAACATTCTCCCCCATGAAGTGAGATTAGCTCCATCCCTACTTACTTTCCAGAAGTCCCTCAAGACCTGGCTTTGCCATCAGCCTGGGGGTCTCAGGGGACCAATGAGATTTTGAGGTGGCTCCCTTGCTAATTTAATCTCTTTTGTGCTGTATGCTTTTTAACTTTTTAATAATGATTTGGTTTTTTACATGTTTTATTGTTTTATATCTTTGTTGTACACCAACCAGAGTCACTTCTTGTGAGATGGGTGGCTATATAAATTTGATATATAAATAAATAAAAGATACAGACTTAAATGCAACAGCATGGACCTTACATTAACCCATTTTTGTCTCCCAGTCCTTCATGCTAACAAGGATCTGCTAAACCTGCCCTTCCAGAATGTTCTGTTCCTTCTCTGTCCTAGTCATTCCAGTCTCAGGATGGCCTGGCCAGCCTGGTACAAAGGAGAAACGCAATATTCCATAATTCTCCAAATTAATATTCTGCTCCTAAACAGTTGACATTGTCTATGCCTACTGAGTTAGTCATATTGCTATATTCCCACCTATCTATGCTGTAGGGTACTGATGGTGTTCTGGTTTTTTTGGGGGGGGGGGTTGGTGCCTTAGAGTCATTGTTGACTCCTGGCAACTGCCTGGACAAGTTCCTGAGGCTTCTTGGCAAGATTTCAGAAGTGGTTTGCCCTTGCCTTCTTCCTAGGACTGAGAGAGCGTGACTGGCCCAAGGTCACCCAGCTGGCTCTCTGCTGTAATGTGATTCAAATTAGGGTAGATCTTAATATTGGGGTCTCTAATTCCATTCACAGAACAGGCCAATCTTCAGAAATGGTACAGAATGAGGAATTTGCTCACACTAATTCAATCCATTATTTTCTGGGACATCGGGGGAGGGGGGGCTCCAAAAAGTCAAGATGGCAGTCACAATCAGCAATTGAAGCTCTGTCCTTTTTTAAACGCTTTGCACATGCAACACGTGTACACAGGCAGAGCTTCAACTACATAGTTATGTCTTCCATCTGGCTTTTTTTTTTTAATATTCCCCTCCTCCATGAACACTTCTGATTACACTGTTTTGATACATTTTGCCAAAAAGCAACATATTCTTATTAACATTAGCAATAACAGTCTAATGGGAAACCCATTTATATAATTTTTGAGTAGATCAGATATTTATTAAGTCACCACCAAGGAGCACTACTCCACCAAGGACTGGCAAAAGCTGTTACAACCTGCACGCTTAGTTTCACCAGCATTTTCTTTGCACGTCCTTCACTTTACAGAAATGTACTATACTTTAAGACAGGGTTCCTCAACCTTGGCTACTTGAAGATGTGTGGACTACAACTCCCAGAATTCCCCAGCCAGCATGGCTAGCTGGGGAATTCTGGGAGTTGAAGTTCACACATCTTCATCGCCAAGGTTGAGGAACCCTGTCTTAAAGTATAGTACATTTCTGTAAAGTGCCATGAACACTTCTGATTACACTGTTTTGATACATTTTGACTTTACAGAAATGTACTATACTTTAAGACAGGGTTCCTCAACCTTGGCGATGAAGATGTGTGAACTTCAACTCCCAGAATTCCCCAGCCAGCATGGCTAGCTGGGGAATTCTGGGAGTTGAAGTTCACACATCTTCATCGCCAAGGTTGAGGAACCCTGCTTTAAGAAATGCAGAGAATGTGAAGATACATCAGTGACTCAGACCAACAGCACATTAATCAAAATCAAACGTTTATTATGGCCCATGGGCCAGAAAGATAGCACATTAATTTTAAAATTATCACAATCCTTCAATCTTAAAACAGATGTAACTCACCTCTCTTCTTTTAATTCCATCTCTTAGCAAATTAACAACATCCTCTCCTTCACAGTCAGTAGCCTTAAAACCCTTGGTCCAATTCAAAAGGATGCCCTAAAATGCAAAATAAATAAAGTCCCTTTCTGATTCTGTGCATGTGTTATTAGAACAAACCAGAAATAGTCACCAGAAGCAGTACTGGGCCAAAACAATTAATGAACACATATAGCAGCCATTTACTATTGCATGCCCTTGTAATCCCAATCTGTGTTGAGATTACAACTTTCAAAATTCCCTTGGTCAACAGGCCTCGTAGTTCCAACTCGTCTAATGGGCACTAGATTGGAGAAAGCAAAATGATGGCATTAAGACAACCTTCCATGACATTTATGCCCAGCTACTGTGCTTTAGGCCAAGCTACTGATACTTGGGACTAGAAGTAGACACCAACCTACATTTCTTCAGCCAGATCTAATGAAAGATTATTTACTATGCAGTATTACTATGCTAAATCTCCCACCCAAAAAAAGCCAAGTGAAGCAAGAAGAAACAAACTCTCAAGAGATAGGACACTCTCCTTTCCCTCCTTGCCAGTGTTTCTCAACCTTTAAGGTGTGTGGACTCCAACTGGCTGGGGCAGTGTTTTTCAACTTTGGCAACTTAAAAACGTGTGGACCCCAACCCCCAGAATTCGCCAGCCAGCTGGGGAATTCTGGGAGTTGGAGTCCACACATCTTAAAGGTCCTGAAATTGACAACACTGCTCTAAGCTATAAATCAGCAATGTAAATTGATGGCAACCACTTATTCCCAGAAGTATCTATTTCAACCTCCATTTCAGGATCACTTTCAAGGCACAGTTTACAGCCATACATGGGGAGCAATTAATCTGGGAATAACTTTTTGATTGCTGCAATTGCATTTCAAACAAAGGAGCACAGCTTCTGTTCTGTATGCAGGAAGTCCCAGGTTGTCACCTGGCATTTCCAGGCAAGCTGGGAAATGCTTCTGTTTGAAATGCCAAAGAGAGCAGCTACGACTTAAGTGTAGACAGTACTAAACAATGTGAACCAAATGATCTGAAATCAAGAGAAGGCAACATCTCTGCTATGCCTGAGACACAGCAATCCATGTAGGCACAGAACTCACACCCAGATATTCTTCCCAAGGACATATTTAACCTGAAACCAGGGTTCTCCTGCTCCAAAGTCATCTTTATGGTTCAGCAAACAACAGTAGGACTTCTCTCTTTTTTCATCTGTTCTACTCTTCCATTCATAAAACGCCGAAGGAAATGGACCCTCAAAAGCAGATATGAACATTTACATTTATAAATAACAAGAGTCACTTACAGCATCTAAGCTGGTCTGTTTGCAGGGAAAAGAAAACGTAAAGCCCAGAGGGAGACAAGCTCCTTTTATTCCCATGTAATCCAAGAAGTCCGAAATGCAGGTGACAATGTGATCAAACAGCTAAGAAGAGAAAGAAATTCCTATCTTGAAATACAGCTTTTTTAAAAAATGTATTTTAAAAAGAATAACAACATAAAAGACATTCCATGTAATGCTCACCTCTTCTCCAGTCCCTTGCATAACTTCTATAGGAATTGAATAGATTTTATTGTGCATTTCCACCATTCTTCTTTTACCACTTCGGATCTTCACAAGCAAAACACGGAAATTTGTTCCACCAAGATCCAGAGCCAGGAAGTCTCCATTCTCTGCAAATAAAGCATTTTGGAACATTAGCAGTAAAGTTCTGTTGGAGAAAATAAAGGTTCTACTGTCTTCATGTCCTGCTTGTATGTATCTCATAGGCACCGGGTTGGCCCCCGCAGGAGGAAAACATTGCACTTAACAGGCCTTTGACTGTACAAGTCTTCTTAAGAATAGACACTGGACTAATTAATATAGCTAATTAATATAGAGCCACTAGCTTTGAAATGACAAAATCAAACATGGATCTTTCCAAAATCTGATAAACAATTCAGTGCTTTGGAGAACCGCAGAACTGCAGACAATGTACTTGCAAAAATATGCTAGGTTATTTTTGCTTTTCCACACATGGCAAACACCAAAGGAACAGGAGGATGGGAGTTTACTGGCCCATTACCCAGCTGCAAAGATCCACTGAAATTCCAGTTCAATACAGTGTAGGTTTGAACTACCTCCAAACTGTAAACACTTTTTACACAAGCACAAAGCCCTGTGCCTCTGTGAACACCCAGGAATAAGGTATGGCAAGATTTACAAAAAAAAGGAAAAAAAAGAAAAAGCAACGGCTGCCAAAGTCATATAATCCAGACCATACATAAGCTTTAAGCAATTTCCTTTTTTCCCCCAATCATAATTTAAAGGAGCATAGCCCCTACTTCTCTGAAAGTTGGCTGGCTTCATTGGTCAGAATGGTGTATCCCATTTCCTTCAATTTTTAGAAAGTTACAAGCACATCCACTCCACAGTTTTTTATTTTTCAAACAAATAAACAAACAAAACAAGGAACCTGATTAACCCCGTTTGGTTGATTGGCCTAAAAATGTACCGAAAAAGCAGAAAGGAAGGTGAGGCATGCAGTATTCTGGTATTAATATCCCACACCAACAGAAGTTGGATCGCTGAGCGATACTGAACATGATTGAGGAGCATCAGGTATGCAGGGTTTGCCACTAGGTGGCGATGCAGCTCCATCACGATCGAAAGGGCTGCGCCTTTCCAAAGCAATTCTGATGCAGTGCGGTTGTGATCTTTTTTCAATTTTCCTGAACTGAGAAATAAAAAGAGGAACAGGTACCCTTCTCTTCATAACAAACCAAAGCATGGATAATGGCACTTCGGATGAGAGAAAGAGAACAAATTAAGGGCCATATCAAAAAATCAGCTGGAAATAATGGAACGCTCTATTAAATGGTCAGCTGGTGTTTTGGACATAGCAGCTTTCAACAGCAACGGCTGGAGGAAGGTGCCTTCTAAAAAGTTATCTCAGCTTGCATCCTGGGAAAGCTGTAAAGTATCTGCTGGCCGCTTCAGATTCTTCCTTCACTGGGGGGGTGTCAACAGTGGTAGAATAAAGTCACATGTGGGCAGGGTCAGAATTTCCAGAAATTGGGGGGGGGGGGTTGGTGAGAGATGTGGCTTTGTTTGGTGAACTACCGCTTATATCCCATTTTCATTTTGTTTGCCGCTGAAAATCCAAAGAGAAATTCACCTAGTAACATACAGCCTTAGAGGACTAATTTGTACCCACCGGCCTGAACATTTTCTAGGCCCTTTACTGCTTTGTAAAATCCTTTTTGTACATTTCACATGACAGCGCTTTACTGTTCATGCTAGTGACTCCATTAGTGGCTTGCAAATGTTTTGCATTTTTCTCTCTGTCCTGGAAAAACAATCCATCAATATCTCATAAAATTACAGAATCTGAGGATAATCAACCAGTAGCAGATCCTTGATTGGTGGGTTCCAGCCTTAGATACTTTATGTAAAAAAAAAAAACAACTTTATTCTGCATCAATCTGGGGCTCTTCTGATTTTTGGATTCCCGTGCCCATAATTCCAGAGCACTGGTCATGCTGGTTGGGGTTTATGGAGGCTGTAGTCTGAAATATCTAACGGGCATCAGACCAACCATCTCCCCTAAAGGTGACTTGAGGCATTAGAGAGCTACCTGTCCCGTCAGGGGTGCTGCGGACAAAGGTGGGCAGCATCTTGACCTTGGCGTGGTCGTGTGACTTCTTCCTGAGGCCAGCCTCCATCTCCATCCTCATCCGCTTCTTCACCTGAAGCAGCTGTTCGTTGGTGAGCTTGAATTCTGCCAGGGTCTCGTCGATCAGCCGGTGCTGCTCCGACAGCCGATAAGCTACTGCTGTCACAAAGGCAGCCCCCTTCCCGCTGCCGCTCTCAGAGAGCAAGAAACGCACATCAGAGTCAGGCACTAAGCGTCGCACTGTTTTGTGCAGGCGTCTGGAGTATCTAAGGAATAAGGGGGGGAAAAAATCAGTGTTAAATCATCTTTAGTTTGATGTACATCACGACCACCTTGGGCCATCGTCAGCATCATTCCCATCATGCTAACCACTACTGCTCCCTATACAAAAGTATCAAACCAATTCATATGGTATCTAGGAGTAACTTGACTTATGATCACAATAGGAACCAGAATATTCGTCGTTAAGTGGTGCAGTCATTAAGCGAGGCACCATGTGACCGCACCCTATTTTATGACATTTTTGTGGTCATTAAGCGAATCACTGGAGTCAGTAAGTGAATCATGCAGTTGTTAAGTGAATCATGTGGTTCTCCACTGATTTTGCTTGTCAGAAGCTGGCTGGGAAGGTCGCAAATGGTAATCATGTGACCCTGGGACACTGCAACTGTTGTAAATATATGCTGGTTGCCAAACGCCCAATTTTTGATCACGTGATCATGGGGAGGTTGCGGCAGATTTTTCAACGCTGTCGTAACTTCGAACAGTTGCTAAATGATGGTCATACATTGAGGACTACCTGTATTTGGGAAATGTAGGGGGTGACCTGGTCCCACAAGGCAACGATAGTATTTGTATACAAGAACTGAGGATAAATCAATGGAATTGAGACCTGCCAAAACTATCTCTGCCTAATTTGTTCAACTGATTAATATAGTTCTGCCCTCAAGAAAACAGAAAAAACTTTATCTTAAAAATCCCATACATTGTGAGAAATAGCAGTACATGAATCTTGGAGCAACAGGCACAAAGACGACATGAGCAACTCCTTCAGGAAAAAAATCCCTCTGTCTCAAGACAATTAAAAAGAATTAGAGTTACATCTCCAAGTGCTGAAAACTGAAACAACTCCTTCAAAATACAATTTTTAAGCATTCAGGCAGGAGGAATGGAATCACGGTTTATTACAAGTAACAAAAACGTTCCTTTCGAAAGGTTCAGACCATGCACTTCTTTACAGCTTTCAAAGGAACCCAGTACAAAGAAAAGATCATCTAGAACATGACAACTTATCTTGTCCTGGCACTTTGGTAACAATGTTTGTGTTTCACATAGCACACTAACTGGGTTACTAAATTAAACTCTTGGTTTGCCCAATATAAAAAAGCCTTGTTTTTCCTAGGAATATGGAAATTCAGGCAGTCACTCATGCCCTAGTCAGCTCACGGCAATGCACTCTACATTGTCTGTCCTTGAAAACCAACCAGAAGCTTTAACTGGTCCAGACTGCAGTGATGGGAATGCCTCAGAATGTCGACATGACACTGCTGCTTTGCAAAGCTGTACTGGTTCCCAGTATGCTTTTGGGTGTAATTCAAATTTCTGGCCATCATCTGCAAAGCCTACATGGCACAGGACCAGGTTATTTGAGGGACAGTCTATGTCCTATGGTTTTTGCCCAGCTGGTACAAGCCAGCAGGGTTGGCATGCTCTGGATTCCTTTGATTAAACAGTGCCATCTACTGTGACCCAGGAAGCATGCCTTCTCTGTAGCAGTGCCTGCCCTCTGGAATGAGGCCCCCCTAATATCCATGGGACTCCTACCCCATTGGCTTTCCATAAGGCCTCAAAGACCTGGTTGTCCTCCAGGCCTTGGGTTAAGATGGATGGAGCCCCTTGTTGGATGTCTTTTTATCTATGTTTTGTACAGAGTGACCAGATCCCATCTTCTTTTGTTCTGTACTATGTTTTTATTGTTTATTATATTGATTGCCACCCAGAGTTGGTTTTAGTTGGGTGGTTCAAATTCAAATAGGGATGGATGGATGGATGGATGGATGGATGGATGGATGGGTGGATGGATGACAGATAACTTTCCCATTGTCTTCTTCCAGGATATTTTTCAGCTCCTTAACAACCCTGGCATTTCCTCAGCGTCTTCCATACAACTATTAACCAGGTCCTGAACAGGTAAGAGGGGAAAGAAGCATGGGAGTCCACCATCCCCATACCTTCATGCATGTGCATCCATGGAATACTCAGCAAAATATAATAGAAGCCACAGAGCACTGCACATTACAGACATGTTATGGCCAGATGTGGCAAATGGTTTGTAAATATTGTCTTCTGTAAGTAGCTATCCATATTAAGGATGCTCAGGATATGGAGTGTCCTCATATCTATCTTATTTAGCTATGTTTCAGGTTCCAGCCTGTGTTGTTAACTGTCCGCATTTCCCTCTATGAAGAGCTATGCTTATTTAGCTCAAGTTCAGAGTATCAAATGCCAGCATGATGTGCTGCATAGCTGACCTTTGCTAGAGATGGCTCTTAACAGGTGCCAAGATATAATTATGGACTGCACAGGATCTTACTGTGGATGCATCTTGTAAAGGGATCCGTCCACCCCCACCGTGGTACGTAGCCGGCCAACTCCTTTATTGTCCCGCAGCTGATTCAAGATAGCACCCAGAACACTTGCTATCAGGTTTGCAGAGCGGAACGACACAATGGTGCAAACATGGTGGACAGCGATGCAGTCTTCATGGGAAGGCTCAACCCCAAGACGTGTCAGTATATCTTTGGCTTTATGCAAACCTTCTTTGCTCCTAAAACCAGAAGTGAAACATACTATGAGGTTCTAAAGTTCATAATTTGACCTGACAATCTGATAGCAAGCTACTGTCATGGGAATCTTATGAAGGTTCGGGAGAGAGATGGGAAACCTGGATGGATGTCACTGGATATTGTCTCCTACAAAGCACAATGACCTTCTTCTCAAGAGTATACAGTTCCGTAGTACTGGATTTGGAAAGAGGGCACTGTGTTTTAAAACTAATTTGCAACAAAGCAATCAATTAGGAACAGAATTTGTGATGTCTTTCTTTTAAATAAGCCACACAGACAGGAAGAAAGTAAAAAAAAATCAGATAGAAGGATACAGCTGCTGAAGGCATACATTAACATCTTATTTCTTTCTTGCTGCAGAGCTATATTCCACTATTTTCTTGTTGTTTTTTTGTTTTAGGAATGCTTTTCCATTTTAACTGTTTAGAAGTTGGACCCTGGCATACCAATTTTCTTCAAATCACACAAATATCTCCTCCCCTCCCAAACCAATCCTGCATAGACTGAAAATTGTGATTTTCAGGTAAAATGTATTAATGTAAGTATACCATGATAGCTATAATAATTCTGTGGCACAATGTTTGTGTTGTGCAAAACAAAAAGGTATAGATGGATGGATGCAATAATGTGAACTGAAATATGTTACCGTGCCCTAAGACCAAACTGTTGTGGAAGCAAACAGATCTAAAACACTTAATAAGGAGAAAATACTTCTGTAAATGCAAACTCAAACCATCTGTGCTTGAATCTGTGGCCTGTTTCGTAAGTCCTGAAAAGTTATTGGTGAACAATAGCCTAGTCACATCTGGCCTTCTAATCATTTGATACAGATACGATCAACACTTCAGAATTCTAGTTGTCAGAACAAACAGGAGTCTAATCCCCAAGGTTGCTGCATTTGAAAGGTAACGTCAAAAATAGATTCAGATACAGATTTCAGACGTATACATCAGTGGGGTTTAACACTGCATGTCAATATTATTTCTAGGGCCAAGTCAAGCTTTCTGAAAACAATGGCAACTATACCAGAAAAGAACATTACAGAATAAATTAAACATTCACAATTTCTGTAATTTAGAATCTTGCAGGTTCATTAAAATGGTAACCAAATTGTTGGCAATCTTCAACCCAAGATTCATCTCTAATGATCTCTGAATGCTGCAATATTAGCACTGCCTAGTAATTTAATTTTTAAAAATTGGATTAAATCCAGGTTTTGTCATACTTCAGAGTGACCAATGAAATTAATGATACTCAAGTGAATTGTGACTAATATAGTCCCATTTATTTCAATGGGTCTACTGTACTTACAACTTAGCATAAATCCAAGGCATTATTTTTAAAAGTTATCCAATAATTATTCTTAAAATCCATTGATGGATTACATCCAATTGAAAATCTAGCGGAAACTTCCAAACTACTTACTTCTCTATGGCAGAAACATCCTTAGTTTCTAATTTCCCTTTGGTTAAAAGTTCAGGAGTGATTCGCCCCTCAAAAAGGAGACCTTCTTTGGCCATTTTTACAAGGATAAGCCTGACAAGTTCACCCATGTACATACCACTGACCATCTTCTCAAATCTGAAAAGAAATGTCACAACAATGGAGTTCAAACATTCAAATTAATGTACAGAAGTGCATCCTACTCAGCATCTGTAAGATTGCAGTTTTATGTTTAAAATCTCATTCATGTAGAAAGTTCCCATATGAGAATGATGGGTGGGATCCAAAGGTCTTCAAGAAAAGGCAATCAAGATGATTCCCTGATCCCAATACCTACTACATTCATATTCAGCTTTCCACACCATTCTGTTTCTCTACAGCAGGGTCAGGTTTTTGTTTTTGTTTTAAACCAAACCCACTTGCTTTCACATTTTTTAGCATTATTTCTGACAGACAAAAGCTTTAGAAAGGCATGATGGTGATATCATGACAACATGCACCTGAATAAGACCATTCCTTTAACGAATGTTGCTAGTTTGCTATGCCTGTCTGAAAACTTATCTAATTTCATTACTTTTCTGCCAGACTATGCCACACAGTTTGACTGACACTATTCTGTAGGCAAGGGAGCAGGGAAAGACTGAGAGTATGCACACTGAAAGGAATCCCAACCAAGAACTGTTGGTTCTATGCAAATTCCAAATTGAACAGTGTAAGTCATTAATAAATTAAGTGCTGTAGTCCTAATGCAACTGTTCAAGAAATTGTCCAGAGGTGCCCAGAGCTAAGAATCTAAAAGGAACTCTGTTAGACTAGACTATGTAAGATAATTATCAATAGTAACATAATCTCAATTACAGTTGCTTCCCAGGATTAAGGGAACCCCGATCAATCTCTCTGTCAAATTCAGTCCGGATGTCTTCTAATAAGCCGTCATCTCCAAAGGCACCCCATTCCGTATTAATGCACATGCGCCCTTCATCACCTTCCACCAGATCAATGTGCCTCATTTCCTCCATATAGCAGGCATTTGTACCAGTACCTTAAAAGAAGGAAATGGGATTCTTCAATATACTCACAAACACAAAATCAAAATGCTATTATGCATTATTCTAAGCAAAGAATTAGTACCAATAATTAAGCCAACTTCACAACGCTGGTCATCAAATCCACAGGTCATCATTGTCCCAACAGTGTCATTAACCACCGCCATGATGTCTGCATCATAATCCTTTAGAATGAAACAGAATATTTTCTTAGATCAAGCAATTTAATTATCAGTGTTGATCTGCATATTCTACTTGTCAAATCTCAACAAAGTTTGGCATGTCAAGCATGTTAGGCCAGCCTAAGGATCACAATTTTGTATTTTCTTCTTATTGCTACACACAAGACAGACTGTATCTTTGGAATGGAGTGTTATTTCCTTCTCAAAAAAGGCCCTCATCAAAAAATCAAGACTCTTCCATTTGTGACTCAGTCCGAGTCGTAGCCACTTTGGGACCAACAAAAAGGTTACTGTGATTTGTAGCTATGTTAAAAGAACATTCTGGCACATGCAGGTCCCATAAACATATATTCTTACCCACGCTGACTTGAGGATAACTCTCATTCAGAGGAGAATGCCAATGGACTTGCTTATATTATCCAGATTATTAATTTTAATTTCTTTTTCTTGCTGCATATGTGTAGCCTGAGCAAGCCCTTTCGCATATTTTTATTTAATATTGTCTTTTAGTCAAATTCTCTCTGTGGGTCCTTTCCCTAATTATCCTGATATTGTCAACTTAGTTCTGGATATTTTGGATATTTGAGTGCCAATTTTCTTGCCGGGTGATGACCGCAATAAAGCTTGAATGACTTGCTTCCACGTAAAATGGGTCGAAGGTTTTACAGTACAACAGTCTTTGTTATTTCAGAGTGGATTGTTTAAAGCAATGGCAGTTATGTCCATTTGAATATATTTAACATAGAAAATAGCCTGACATTATCTTGACTCAATAATTTTGCTAGGAATAAAAATGCTCTTAAATAAGCAAGTATCATATTATTTTCCAATAACACTGAGAAACATCAACAAAAAAGATTTAATTCATCTAACAAATTATGTCCCAAATCATCCAATTCCTATATGTTTTATACAGAGATGTCTGGAATACATTCTCACCCCACGTTTCTTGATGGCTTTGTTTAACAGCTTTACTACATCAGCTCCCTCGACGCCACTTGCTTTGAAACGTTTTGTCCACGTAATCAGAAAACCCTAGAAAAATTAAACTATTACAATACTGGCCAAATTACATGACATTCATGACATTTCTTTCCACCAAGATATCACTTATTTTGAGGGGTTGGTGGTGGAAGAGTTTAAAATAATTGAAAACCTGTTCAAATACGGGGCAACATCAGCAAACTTCCTACATGTCCACTTGCTGACATCCCAAGTGAGGTAATACAAGCAAAATCAAAATTAAATCAAAATATTTTGTTACAATCATAAATCAGAATACAAGCAATGCCACTGCATAAATATCCCATTGCTCACTTTTGCCACATTTATGACTCCCCATTCCAGACACTCCACAATTTTGGGACACAGTAAATGCATTCAAAGAGTACACAGAGAGCAAAGAGTACATTCACCCATATTTGTGCTCATATGCAAACTCTTCCAAAGGATTTCCAGAGTTTCAGGGGTCTTGGTATAATATGGTCCACACATGAACTTCTGCAGCTTCCCATAACCTTGCAATGCTGAATACTGAAGATGGTTTTAATTCAGTTGCTTACCATATGCAGTACTGAAGCAGTTGCACTGTAGTAGTGACAGCAGTATAGTAGCTGTTATTATAATGACAATACTACGTTCATATCATCAGATTCTTCCAGCTTACAATAGTTCAGTAGGAAAGTCCCTAATTAAATCTCTACCATCTTCTAGTACAGCAGCAAGCCAAAGAGCCTGGCCATGTTTGCATGGTGGTTAATTAGTGCCACCAAATCAGGTCTGATTCCTGAAGATGCTAGGGACAAATACTCACCATCTCAACTACTCTTTAATAATAATTGGTAGGTGTTCCAAAGACATCCTGGTGCTCTATTAGATCCTGCCCATCCACCATAAGAGTTGTCTTCTTTTGTGTCTACTTGTATCTAATAGTCATTTTTTCTCATCCATTATCCATTCATAGCACACATCTAAATTATATGAGATATGGCTTGCTAATCATCACCTCAAAGGAACAGTCTGTCTTTAGCTGATCCAGGACAGATCAGTGGCTTTTTTCTTGCAGTCCGGGGTATCTTAATAACCATTTCAAGATCTTTAATCTGAGGGCATCTATCTTCTTTCACTTGCTCTTTACCAGTGGGCAGCTTTCATAGCTGTACATAACCTCCAGAAAGGCCATTGCAGTAACTATTCTGATCCTCAGGGTCACGTGCCTTTATCCTTCATGATCCTATCAAGTGACTGTCCTTCTACCTAGAATTAATCTCCTCTTTATTTTTCCAGTACATTGTCCATCTTTATCTGCTCTTGAGCAAAGAAAATAGAACTATCTGGCACCTTCATATCTTTGCCATCAACTATAAGATCACTAAGCATACAAGCTGGTATTACTTTTGTCTTCTTCATACTTAACGTTGACCTAGATTTTTCGCAGTCCATGTTTATTTGCATAATGAGCTAAGTTTTCTATACTTTCAGCAAAGAATGTGGTGTTGTCTGCACATCTCAAGATGTTAGGTTTTCCATCTCTTTCAATCTTACCATTATTTATATTTGCTGCTTAAGTTACACAAATGTAGGGGCAATATGCATCCCTCTCTCATTTTCCTCCCCACTCTTTACACAACTTTATCCATCGTAATTCAGTCTGTACAGTAACTTCTAGTTCATTATAAATATTAATGACCAGGTGTTCTGGCATACCCATTAGCCTTAATATAGTCCATATGGGGCCCTGAAGACCTGGCTCTTCACCCAGGCCTTTGGCAAGAGGAAGCGAAGCACCCTTTGCATTATGTGGGGTTGTTTCTCTTTTGCTCATCTGGCTGTTGCTACCCTTGCCATCTTTTATTCTTTTATTTTTTTCTATTGTTGTATTTTTTTCTTGACATATACATACATGCACAGATACATACACACACACACATTCTGGCATTATCTATGCAAAGGCCTTGCTCAAGTCAATGAAACAAAAGGAAATCTTGTATTCTCTTGTTCTCTCCACTATTCATTTTATGCTAGATAACCTACGTCATCTCCCTCTCCCTTTTTGGAAACCTATTAATGTAGCATTTCTCTCCCTATGCAGGTGTCTATTTTTCTTTGTAAGATCTTATGCAAAACTTCCCTAGCATTAGGAATGAGCATAATGGTTTTGTAATCTGGGTTATCTGTTTCTTTGGTGTGCACAACCTTTTTCAAGTTCTAGATCACACCATCTTGCTCCATATTTGTTGGCACAGAGCTATTACAACTTGAATTGCCTCTTCTGTAGCTTTGAACAGTTCAGAAGGTACTCAGTGGCTATCACATAATACATTTGACCATGCCTTTCTAGAATTTCATACAACTGCTGCTTGCAAATACAAGGCATTTCTCATATAAGGCTGCTTGCAAATCATCCTCTATGATAAGCCTAATCCTACTAATTCTAAGGCAAACCATGAATTCACTCTGTAAATCTGTGATAGGCTGCAATTAAGAGCTACTGGCCTGATAACAGAATTCCCAGGAGGTGCATTCACCATTTAAATACCAGAAAGCTAAGTCTGAAGTGTGAATGCCCGTAATGAGTGCACCCAACTTATAAAGCAGTTTCCTATGTTCCAACTACAATGTAGAATCCACAAACCTGTAGTAAGTCATACCTCATCTAGTTTAGATTGCCTACATGGGAATGAAAATGTGAACCCAACAGGTAATTTCTTGTCCTTAATTTCTTGTTTCTCCATAAAGTCTCCCAGACATTCAGCAACATGATCAAAAAGCTGAAAAGGAAGCAAAACAAAGACAAAAGGATGTTAAGAAGTAATCTAAAACATTAATTAGAAAAGCATTACAAGCCATAATAGAAAAATGAGAAAAATAATTAGAGGATCCATACTGATAATAATTATTATTTTGGTGGCAACCGCTGATTACTTCACTGTTGCTGGGAGACTGCATCTCCATCAGAGTAGGATGATAATTTTACAGTATTCAATTTTTTTTATATTATACTTTAACAACAAAATAGCACAGAATTTAGGAAGCAACAGTGACACCTCACTGAAAAAGTAGACCAAATCTGATACAGTATTTCTGATCCACTTACAGATAAATGTTGTGGTTGTATGGACTAATTTTGTGATCATTCTTTATCTAAGGAGGCCAAGCTCAATGTTTCCTGGGCCGTGGCATTTCAACTATGTATTTTCCCATTTACCCAGAATATTGATCCCATGCAAAGTATCTTCTGTTATTTCTTAAAAGTACACACCCAGAAATTGCTTAATATTTAACATGCAAAATGGGTGTGTGTTTAATGCAGCACAATGCAGGCAAATTATGCAGTTCTTTGACTAGAATATGATTTCAAGACTGTGTCTCTTTCCATGCTATGGAATACGTCTGACAACAAGCGCTACAATACAGAAAAGAGAGTGGCAGCCGGGCACAACAATATGGCTGAACATCTTCAGAGTTAGAGCACCTTCACCAAGAGTTCTTCTTCATTAATCAAAATCCAAATTACTTCATTACATTTTTTACAAAGCCCTTTAACCACATTCTTCTCATTTATTTTCCCTCAACGTTCATGAGACACATCCTTTTTTGTAGATTTTCAGCAAAGTCAAAAATGTAACACAGCCATCTCATCCCATTGCCTTCCAGGTGTGCTGAGATTTCAAAATTCCAGAATTCCCACCAGTAGGGCCAAGTTTGGGTAGCTGTAACCCTAACAGATCTGTGCAGTGCCAGGTAGGGAAGGCCATGCTTCCTGTTTTGAGATTTAAACAAAAGGCAAAAAATAAAAACAACCTGATGATCTGTGTTCTAACATGATCAGATCTTGGTTAATGCTCCCAAATTACTAAGTGTAACTTCAAATAAAAAAGCATCAGGAAATCAAATTAAAAACCTCATTTGCCAAGTAGAATCATGCCTGAAAACATGGCAGGTCATAATGCACTAACTTAACTGGTTTGACCTTTGTTCACATTAAAAAAAATGAAGTATCCTGCCTGAAAACTGACATATTTTTATAGTACATCAATACCGATAGCTAACCTAACTTTAAATAACTGCTGAACTTTTATCGGATGTTATGCCTGCTAACTTATAAATAAATTGTGCAAAGCCTGCAGAAACATAAGGTGCTTCATATGAGTGGAAACAATCAGTGATGCAAATCAGAACCTTTGATCCTAGTGCCACTGAAGGTAGCTTCTCATTCTGCCATGACCACGCTGGAAGCAACCAGACTAAAATTTTCAAGAACTAACCAGCAGCAAAAACAGAAAGAATCCTGGCATTGACCGGCTCAAAATAAGAATTTTTGCAATAGCAATGCCAAAGGATGCCAGAGAAGAGTGCCATCGCCAAACAGGCCAAATCATCATCCTTTAGGCTCAACAGCCATGCTGCCGCGATTCAGAACCCCATCATGAATGTACATTTTGGGAAATGCAAGAGAAATGGCAATGGATTGTGTCATGTAGCTTAAAAAAAAGCAGCAGCAGTGACAGCAGATACCAATTCTGTAACTTACACAAGAGTTTTAAGTGGAGGAAGTAGGAGAAACTCTCCTGCCTTCCTTGGCTTCGCCAACCATCCATATAACGTCTACAGCTTGAGCTGCTGGCTGCAAAATGTATACATAGGGATCAATATAGGGATTGAAGACCAAGAGACAGAAGGGTCCTTTGGTAAAAAATAAACAGAGGAGATCCACCACACAACAAAATATGGCAATCAGGCAAAGGTGCATCAAATATGAAAACAAAGTTTATTCTTCACTGACCTGTTTCCCTAAAACAGACTGCTCTGGCACCACCATAAAAACCATCCCTCACTTGTGACACCCACTGGCTGGGTTCACACAGCATGCTTAAACACAAGGGTTGGTTAGTACAAACACGCCGATTTGCATATGGTTGTTCTGTTAAGCATATTATCTGAACCCAGAACAAGCAATACTTTCAGGCACTGCTACCTTGTTTAAATTTTGCTTATAGGTAGTCCTCGCTTAATGACCACAATAGGGACCAGAAAATTGGTTGTTAAGCAATTGGACCTGATTTTACCTTTTTTGCAGCGGTCCTTAGTGAATCGTGCAGTTCCCCATTAATTTTACTTGCTGGAAGCTGGCTGGGAAGGTCGCAAATGGTAATCACGTGACCCCAGGATGCTGCAACCATCATAAGTGCGAGCTGGTTGCCAAGCGCCTGGATTGTGATCACAGGATCGCAGGGACTAGCTGTATTAGCACTTTTAGTAAATATGTTAGCATCTCTCCATTTCTTTCAACAGGTAATGTTAAAAGTTGGAATATGGGCTTCCAATTACTTCAATTCTATGGATGTCAACTAAAATAAGTCCTGTTGAATACAATGAGACTTACTCTCCTAGATGTAGGAAGAGGAAAATCACTCAAGAATTCAGTCTGATAAAGACAGGTGGGAAATCTTCCACCTGCCAAGCCTCCTTCTCCCTAGGAGCATTTCCTGGGGTAGCCTTACCCCAGAGTTTCCCTGTCTGTACAAATGCAACCAGGGAGGGGAAGAGATAATCTGAGTTCAACAGAGTCTATAGAAGGCATCTAGCCAGCTTTGGCTTAAAGTCAGCAAAACTACTAGGGCTGCACACTAGACTGGGAAATGAAAAAAACATCCTGGAAGAATGCTAAACCAGCTCTTCCTATACTGGTCCCCTCCCCCCAAAAATTACATGGATGCAACTATGAAGTCACTGGGATCAAGCTCAACTTTAGGGAATATTTATCTTTTTTATTTCCAAGTAAGCATGCATAGGATTGCTGCCTAAGGTACTGTACTGAAGAATTTTCTTCCAAACAATCAGTCCTTAAAAATGTTTAATGATACTCACCCATCCCAGAATACAGTAAATAAAAATAAAGATGGGTATAATAAACATATGAAGAAACAAAATAAACAGCAATACATATTTTAACTCATGGTTAAGCAAATGCATTCATGCCCGTCACACAGGACTTTAATCTGTCTGCTAGTTCAGCTAGTTTTGACTCCGTATTTGATGTATGCTCTGCTTTTCTATGCTAGTGAGCAAAACACCCACATTTATAATGGATGATTTGGAAGAAATTACTACAAAAGGCCAATTTTTGTAATAAAATCTGGCATTCTCCATGTTTTTTTTTCCAGCAAGAAAATGAGAGGAAATTTATCCCAAAATATATTTTCAAACTTGGTAAGAAACATTTTTAGGATTTTTAATATTCCATTTCCTTGAATATTAAAATTACAAATTAATGTTGTTATTCCATTCAAAATTAAATATCAGAAAACCCAAGAGATCATCCCCAATTTAACAAGCAATATGGGAAACATTCAGAATGTTAACTATATATTTAAGGAAGAATCTACCCGTGTTCCACTGCCGTGCATAATATCTTCAGGAGTTTCATAAATCTCAGTTTCCATTTGCACCGTCTGCTTTTTCTCATGAGAGACTTTCACTCTTAAAATACGGAAGAAAGACCCACCAAGATCCAAAGCAATGAAATCTCCTTTCTCTGTTGGGAAGAAACAGGTATCATTTTAGGCATTAGAACCATACATTTAAATTTTCCCACCCTTGAAGTAAAATACCATTAGTCTGCTACATGGGCCGTGGAAATTATCCTATCAGCGTTCACTTTCTGACCTTGCAAATACATTTGTTGAATCAACTGAGAACATTTGCCTAAGCCTATCTAATAGGACAAAGATAGTAATCCTGAATCATTTCAAAGTTAAGATTACCAACTAACACAGTCACTGGAACAAGATAAATTGCTCTGTACATACACAGACTAGACAAACACTGCAGATCACACACACAATCATATTTCAACTTCCCCAAGGTTTTTCAGGCTCAGCACCAGTCCACAAAAAACACAAATGTGATGGGAATACAATTTCCAGAATATCCAGCCACTATCTAAATCAAGCTGGGAAGGATGAATGATTCTTTTTCAAGCACAATTTCCTTCTCAAGCACAATTTTGACAAATCATGATCCTCAGCCGCTTGGCAATTTTAATCAACTTTGCTGAACTTTCTCAGAGATGTCCAATATACATGAAATAAATGTTCCATTATATTAACCATATTTTAGGATTAAAAGAGACTAGTTTCCCAGTTTTTAAAATAACCCGCTATCATTTTACAGGAACAGGATATTCAAGTTTGTTATTCCAAAGGCTGCATAAATAATCAATATTACTATTCAATCTTTTACAAGGTTACTGGATGAGTAACTGCATTTTATACTTCCAAGACATATAATGAAAACAGAATTATAGAAACAGCAATTGCATCAGGATTTTTTTAATAGTAATTTTACTAAAGATTATAACAATAAAAACGAATACAAACTAAAAAAATGAAAGAATAAAAAGAAAAAGTAGAAAGAAAAAAATAGAAACAGTAGAAAGAGAAATAGAAAAGAAAAAATATAGTAAAGAAAAAGAAACATATAAAGAAATGACATTCCCCTTCATCACAAGTATAAACAATTTTATTTATATAAAGAGTATATATATAAAAGAGTA